TGGCCCCAGCCCCTGCCTGTAGAGGCTGGGACACATCTGGTGGCCAGGCAAGGCCCCCAGCAAGCCCACGGCTCATTCCCGTGAGTTCCATCAGCCACTTATGCCCCTCCCTCAGCATGTTCACTTCGGGCTCCTCCCCAGGCTCCCACAGGGCACGGCCTGTGTCCCACTGCCTTGCACTTGCTTAGCTGTGCTGGCTGGATCCAAGCACCCACTGATTTATTTATTCGCCATCGCTCCAGCACTTCCGGAGCACACACTGATTCAGGTCTGTGGATGGCCCAAGGACTCACTGAAGTGTAAGATCCCAAGGGGAGCCTAACTAAACCACCCACTGCGGGATCGAGCACACACAGGCACAGAACCGACCCTGTAGAGGTGTGTGCGGGGAGGGGGCTAGTCTGCATCTCACTCCGGCACCCGCTAGTCCTTCATTCAGGAACATCTATGACACATTGACCCACTTACGACACCCTGTCCTGTGGCCAGCTCGGCTCTGTGCTCTGTGAGTAGAGAAATGGAGAGCCCCAGGTAAGAGGGGAAATCGCCCCCCTTTGTCTGGATTCAGGCTTGAGGTCTAAGGACACTGGTTAGGAAGAATCTTCTGGAGGCCAAGGGACCGTGAGTGCAGGAGTGCAGGGACTCAGCACCCTGGGGGAGGGCTCTCTGCCTCCAGGCCTCAGTTTTACCACCTGTTCAAGGTGGGCAGGGTGTGTTTGGCCAGGGTCCCTGGAGGCCTTCCCATGGGGGTCTCCCCTGCAACCCTGTTCATGTGGACAGCACTCTCCACTCCTGCTCACCACTCATCCAGAACCTGGGGGGGACCCCTGCACTATTACTCTAATTGCCCGTGACGGGTGGTGACGGGCGGTGACAGGTGGGAAGCCGGAAGGTCAGCATGCTGACAGCCCCCAGGGGAGCAGCAAGCGGACCAGCTGTCAGGAAACGGCAAGGTCCCGGCACAGAGGGAGCCAGGCTGTGACTGCGCGGTGGTAAGCCCTGCAGCTTTTCCATCCTGCCTGGCATGCACACCTCAGGGTTGGCTTCACGACTCCCCAGGAAGCCTCCCAGCCCTCCTGCTGGCTGCCACTATTCCTGAAATCGCACCTGGGAATCACTGAGAAAGATTGCTGGGTATGGAATGCCAGAAGGTTCTAGACTGCACTCACCACACGCAGTCTGACACCTCACGCACACCCATTACCCTCCAAGGCCCGCCTTTTTCTCTCTGTTAAAAAGGAAGGGGGTGGGCTTATATAGTATCTGTGGGTTCCTCTAGCTCTCGGAGTCTGTGGAAAAAGGTTTTGTTTAATTCCGGAAGCCCTTATAAATATACATTCCCCCTGGAAGGTATAAAAACGTAGAGAGCAACTATGGATACTAGAGGCAGTGTAGGAGGAGGGTGGGAATGGAGGGGGCAGGGAATCAAGGGGAAAAGAAGGAAGTGAGGCATTTAAGGGACACAAAAATGGCAAATGATCTGTGATAATAACGTGTACGGTAATAACTTTGACTGGACTAATATACTCTGTATTCATGCTGTGAAAAACTCACTTTGTATGCCGTAATGATACATACTGATTACATGTATAATAATAATAAATTAATTTTAAAACAGAAAATATATTCCCCCTCCCTTCTTTCCTCCACTCCCTTCCCACTCTCCGTTTCCCATGCTCCCTTGCTTTCGACTCATAACAGTCATTTTGCAAACACCAGCCGAGAGCCCATCTCGTTCTGGACAGTGGTGAACAGGCCCTGTTCCAGGCGCTTGTGATCCTGAGAACCCAGGCCCCTGGGATCCAGCACTAAGTACGGAGCAGAGCGAATCACAGGAGGCTGCAAGGGCTCATAAAGGCATCTAAGAGCAGACTTCCTGAAGGGGGCAGACTTCCTGGGGGAGGGGGGCTGCTAGATGAAGGGTGGGGTGACAATGGGCTAGGTGGGGTGGGAGTGGGGTGCCACCTAAGGAAAGGTGTTCTGGGTGGGGAGAGCAGTGTGTGCAAAGGCTGAGTGAGTAAGGCACAATGGGATGTTAACTGCAGCAGAGACACAGACAGCACAGTTACAAACAGAACAGGCCCTCTCCGAGCTCTGGCCCTGACCTTGTGCTGCAAGGACAAAAGAGCCAGACTCCTGCCTGTGCTGAGTCTCCCCCTTAGGCTGTGATCCTGGGCAACTGGCTTCAGTACCATGTGCCTCAGTTTTCCTGTGTCAGATGGGCCTGTAGCTCTTTGTCCAACTCCTTGGGCAGATGTAAAACCCCAGTGGGGCAGGAGGAGTGAATGCCCTTCGGAAAAGTCCCGAGGAGAGCCCTGAGTGACGGACAGTCCCTGGCTGGGCACAGAGTCATCCCACTCTTGCTTGTCCCGTAGCATGACCGGGCTCGAAGGGGAGTGGGAATGGTGGCCCTCCGAGATCAGGCTGCAGGAACTCTGCCAGCAGTCTTGGCTTCCAGTCCTGGCAGCAAAGGCAGTTGCTTCTCTGCCTACTTAAAGATGAGGGCCTTGTGACCTAACAGTGGTCCCTGCATCTGCCCAGAGGGTGTCAAGAGCCACCAGGGAAAGCAAGCTTGCCTGAGGCCGGACAGGAGCAGCAGTCCTTGTGGACAGTTGTGTGGCTGCTCCCAAGGAGCGCTTCTGGGGATGGGTGGGGAGGGTTCCGTGGGTCCCAGGCCACGACCTGGCCCAGCATGGTCCTGATAGGGCAGGCCTTGCTGGACGTCCCCTAGATCCTGAGCTGCCGGCAGCGGTTCCCATGCTTTGTGGGCACTCCCCTCCTCTCCCTCAACTTCGAGGGGTGCAGACCTGCCCTGCTAACCTGAAGACCCTAAGCAGAAGATTTTAGCTGCTTTGAGAAAATGGAAGCAATCAAGAATGGTCCCTTTTAATTTTAATTTTTTCCTATAAGGGGTGTGTGTGTGTGTTGAGAGAGAGACTGACTGTACCTCCCAGGGCAGATGGCCAGGCTGCAATGCCCTTTCCTCCATTCTCCTCTTGGGATTTTTGGACATAATTTTTTTAGAGGTTTTTGCTTTAGGACACAGCCAGAGAAAGAGAGAGTGCGAGGAAAGTGAGAAATCACTTCCCGGGGGATGGCCACGCTGCAATCCCTTCTTTCCTATTCTCCTCTCTGAATCTTGGGCGTGCAAACACACGCGCAGGTGTGAGTTTCAAGCCACTAGGTCTGGGACTCGAACTGCTTGGTCGGCCATGTAAGATTTAGTTGCCTTAACCACCATGCCACTAGCTGGCCCAGGAACGGTCCTTTCTCATTCCCATTCTCTCCCTTAAACCACATGCACCTTCCCTCTCTCCAGGCATGGCAGGAAGGGTGATGTCTTTCCCTGAGAGGATGCTCTCCGCACACCACTGGGAGGCGCCTTCCCCTTCCAGGCCCCAGGCTTGTATGGTGCCAGCTGTGCACGCCTGGGCCACGTCCACACCACCCTCTCTAGGCTTGTTCTCATAGGACCTGCAGTCAGGCTGGCGAAGAGCCTACGAATCTCAGCTCGCCCTCTCTGCAACCGAGCTTCGTGATCCCAGCCAGACAGGCCCTCATCCTCTTCAGTCAGCCACCAGAGCGCTCCTGATGTCACCTGCTAAACACGCTCAACTGTCCCGGGCTGGTCACCTTCTGCCGGAATCACCGTGGCCTCAGGCCCAGCTCTGTTCAGTTCACTCCCCTCATGGCAGCCGGGATGCTCATCCACACCCCAAAGTGGCCTCCATTGAGTGTACTCTCCCCAAACCACATGAGGGGGACGCTGAGCTTTTTAAGGACAGGGGCCAGGCCGGATTCATCTTTGTCAGCAGAGCTCAGCCCGAGTCTGGCACCTGGTGGTGACTCCGTGACTGTTTGCTGAGTGAATGAGTGACAAAACCTGTTACTCTTTGTCCTTTTCATGGTCTCATCCCACCTCCCAGGAGACCCGTGCCCTCG